AGGTTTTTCTGGGATTTTATCACCTAAGACATCATCTTTTTTCAAAATGGCCCAGTGCTTTTTAAGAATTTTTTCTATTTTTTTAGCTTCAGAACTATATTTAGTAATAAAAGCAAAATCCATATGCCTATTAGTTTTATTTCTATGTTTTAGGTTTTTTTCCATCAAAAATTCCGTACGTTCTCTACTTTTTATTTTTGCAATATCTTCTTGTATTTGATCTATATTATACCCTTTTTCCTTTTTCTATATTATACCCTTTTTCCTATGGCGACGCTACATTGATGATGTACTTATTATTTGGGAGGGAGATGTTCAGAGTCTAGAGAGATTTATTGAAATCATTAACTCAAATGAATATAATTTAAACTTTACTTCCAATATCCATCCGACAACTATAGATTTCTTGGATTTAACTCTGTATGTAGAGAATGAGACTCTTAATACCAAAACCTTTTTTTAAAAAACTGACTGTAATACAGCAATTAAAAAGACTAGCTTACATCATCCAGTATGGCTCAACAATGTGCCGAAAGGCCAAATTACTCGAATGAGAAGAAATTGCTCCAATGTCCAAATGTTTGAAGAACAATCAAAATTAATACAAAATAGATATGTGGAAAAAGGGTATAATATAGATCAAATACAAGAAGATATTGCAAAAATAAAAAGTAGAGAACGTACGGAATTTTTGATGGAAAAAAACCTAAAACATAGAAATAAAACTAATAGGCATATGGATTTTGCTTTTATTACTAAATATAGTTCTGAAGCTAAAAAAATTGAAAAAATTCTTAAAAAGCACTGGGCCATTTTGAAAAAAGATGATGTCTTAGGTGATAAAATCCCAGAAAAACCTATAGTTATATACAGAAAGGCAGATAATCTTAAAAACCAATTGGCACCCAGTCTATTACCTAAATTGATAAAAAGTCCAAATCCAAAGAATTTTTTACAATTCAACAAAACTCCAGGTTTCCACAAATGTGGAACATGTTCTACATGTACCCATCAAAAAAGGAAATCCACATCTTTTGTGGGATCTTATACCAATCAGATATATAACATAAAGAAATTTATACATTGTACATCCACATATGTGATTTATCTTTTACAATGTGGATGTGGATCTCAGTATGTAGGAATAACTACCAGAACCCTACATACTAGACTCCGCGAACATTTCAATAATATTAGGACACATAAGGTAGAGCACAGTGTTCCAAATCACTGTAATTCCTGTAATATGTTTAATTGGTCTACCTTTATGGCCATTGGTATAGACCAGGTAACTCCACATTGGAGAGGAGAAAGTAGAATTAATGATTTAGCTAAAAAGGAGGCTTTTTGGATCTATACACTAAACACCTTGAAGAGAGGCCTTAACCAAGATATAGACTTGGGAGGGCTTCTTTAAATATTATGAATTTACCATTCATTTCATGATAAAGATGTCCCACATTTTCCTTATATCCTTTGTGGGGATGATATGTTGCATTCATGACATTTTCTATATATAGATAGTGTTGCCTTAATTGTGTTTCTTTTAAATTGTGATCCCTCTATATATAATTTCTTTGGTATATATTTTTTTTTTGGTATTTGTGATATTTTAATGTATATATATATATAGACATTGTTGTGTTTATTTTTATATTCACTTTTACTTTTATATTTCTTTGTAGATTATTATCATTTATATATTTTTATATTGTATAATTTTTACATTGGGTTAAGTTTATATATTATTAGAGACAGCTCTCCTTTTTCGTCCAGCTTGGGACGCCCGGTTTTCCTTACAGCCGATTGGCTGCTTGGTCTTCCGTGCGTTCCACGGTGGAACGCGGAAGTACCGCTGATGATATTGTATTATGTGTTATGGACGTTATGCGTTCCAGTATGGAACGCGGAAGTGAGCTCTTTTTTCTACATCCGTCTGAGAGGGTTATCTCGTCCAACCAATCAGAAGGAGGCAAGACCGAAACCCGGAAGTAAAGGTTTTTCCGCGGCAATTTCAAGATCACTTGGAGGCTTATAAAAGAAGAATTTTCTGGACATTTTCTTATCCCTGAAGAAGTCTACACAGACGAAACGCGTTGGATATTGATCAGGAACTTTTTTCCTTTTTTGTTATTTTATTGTTATCCTTTTCTTTTCTTTGTTTTTAGTATATTATTATTACTTTTTATACTATCATAGAGGGACTTTTTTCCTCGGTACCACTTGTGAGTGGTGATATGCTGCTATAATCTTCACTTGATGTAAGTGCAATTTGTATTAATAAATTTATTTTTGTTTGCAATACTGCTCTATTTACCTCTTTTCCTTTGAGGATTGGGTGTTTTGAATCTACGACTTTTTGGTCCATACATACAAGTCTACTGAGAAAGAAAACGCTACCTAAATACCCTATGGAAGGGAGATAAGCGCAGATCTACAGCATGGTCTTGTAAGTTCTCTACCTACGGGATTGAATCATATATTTCTGTACATGCTTCACTATTATGTGATTTTTTTCATATTTTAGATTCTTTGAAGAACTGTGTTATATTATATACAGGTTGTATGGTTCTTGATTGTTGTGCTACCCCTTTAGTCTATACTAGTATTTGATACAGTATAGATTTACCCCTTTGTCTATATTGTATTGGTGTATGTGAGGTACACTTCTGGGTGTTTGGCACTGTTTTTGGTTTTTTGTTTGGGATACTATATAGTACCTCTCTCCTTTTTCTGCCTACAGGAAATGTTGCAATTTTATCATTAATGAAAAACTTATGTTGTCTCTGATTTTCTAGCAAGTTTTTTTTTTTAGCAATAAAAAGGAGATTTTAATGTAAAGGAACATAAATATGAGGTCAAAACATATTACATGCACTTAAGCTGTGCCGGTGCCCCAAGCATTCTTTTAAATCCTTTTATTGTCAGCACAAATGCAATATACCCCTGAAGGTAACATTTCCAGTTAGGGTCCAGTGAAAGGTAGTTTTACTTATCTGAAGCTGTCCCCTGTGGCTGCTGCTATCTTCTTCCTGCAGACCTTCTGCTCTGCCTTTAGTCAACCTCAGGCTTGTCCATTAGACAAAGAAGTTCCTACTTTGCCTCCTTGGTATCTTTGTATTTTATTGTAATTTCAGTGACATTTATGAAATAATCAAAAGTGACAGAGTTGCTTCAAACTCTAAAGTTGAACAAATTAAGAACAAATTTAACCTTTTTGCTAATTTCTTCTTTTTTTTTAAATTTGACAATTTTTATTTCAAGTTCAGTTCGGTTACAGAAATAAAGAGTGGCAGGGAGGGGTAGAAGCAATAATTACTGTTAAACAAGTTCAATTTCGATTATACAATTTTACATTATATCTCTTTCATCTGCATTGACTTTCATAGGTACGTGAAGTTTTGCGAAAATTTTGGCATGCCACTAGGTGTGTATTGGAGTTGACAGTTTACAGTGAGGGTGGCTGTGCGTTTTTGCCCCTAGTGCTGTCTGTTTTCGGGGTTCACCCGATTCGTATTTCTGTACTGAGTCGGCCGCTGAGGTTAATTTGGTGTTCCTGAAATGAGTGTATTAAGGCTTTGTGTTGCCCTTCGTACTTTGTTCAACCTGGGCAAAGTTAAACGTGATGTGGATATTGTCTGTGCGTCTGGCATGTATTCGTTGATGGTCCGATTTGGGACGTGTGAGCTCTGTACCTCCCGTCAATGTGTCCTCTCGTGTGTGGTCCCGTCTAGTGGGGTCGCTTGCTGCGGCGTGTCAGCTTTCCCTATTTGTCCACTAGTCTTTGTTGGGTATGTCCGCTTTCATATAGCAGTCAGTGAGATTCTGAGAAGTGTGATTAATTGGCCGTTTGATGCATTATGTTACATCCTTAACTATTTTGTCTAATTATGCGCGTTTAGGTTCCGAGACGGTCTATGCATCCTATTGTGCGAAATAAGCCTCTTTCTGGTTCTGTCTTGTTTGTGTTCCTATCTTCCATCTTCTAGAAAGTCTGACTTTGCTTTTGTGTGTCTCGTTGTTCTTATGCGAGTTGTATTCTCATCTAGTCGCCCGTATCTGTTGTAGAGCTGTTGCCAATCTCCCGTCTTCTCATCAGTCTATGTGTGAGCTATGTCTTATACAGGGCCGGATTAACATAGGGGCTGATGGAGCTGCAGCTCCAGGCCCAGGCCCATGGAATAGGCCCATTGATTTAAAAAAAAAAAATTTTTTTTTTTTTTTACATTTTTTTATTTCACACACTACTCTTAGGGATTCCACATGGCTTTTATTTTATTGGCACAGCCAGTATTTGAGGCTGCCTGGCTGGTGCCAATATTGCAGTGATATTGGCAATACAAATGCTGGTATTTTTCTCAGTATAAACAAGAGATTACTATGCAATACCAGCACTGGCCAGTAGGGGTCGCTGTGTGTGGAGACAGGCAGGGATAGTAAGTTCCAGTATTTCCCTCCCTGCCTATTTATACTCACTGATCTGCAGGGGTGCAGCTACAGAGAGTCCAGACAGCAACTCCCACCCTGCAGAGACTGACTACAGCTCAGGGAAGTAAGGGATAGGGGGAAAAGGCTGCAAGGAGACATACACTGAGATACTAAAGTACACTGGGAGACATTATGACACAGACACATGGGGACACAGTGTCCCCATGTCCCCCTAGTCTCCCAGTGCCTCCATGTCTCCCAGTGCCTCAAGTGTCTCAATGTCCCCATGTCTCCAGGCTAGTGTCCCTAGTGTCTGTGGCCGTGGTGTCTCAGTGTCCCCATGTCTCCCAGTGCCCCCTGTCTCAAGGTCCCCATGTCCCCCAGCCAGTGTCTCTAGTGTCTGTGTCCCCATGTCTTCAAGTGTCCCCTAGTTTCCCAGTGTCACTGGTGTCTCTGTGTCCCCAGGTCTCTCCGTCTTCCTAGTGTCCTAGTGACACATACATGGGGACATAGACACATGGGAATACTGGAGGACACAGGGAGACATGGGGCATTGAGACACTGATACATAGGGACACTGTGATACATAGGGTCACTGGGAGACCTGGGGACACGACACTAGGGGACACTGGGAGACATGGGGCACTGAGACACTGATACATAGGAACGCTGAGACCTGGAGTAATCGACACATGGGGGCACTGGGAGGAATCCATCTATACAGCATAATCAAACTAAGTAGTTTTTTGGTGATTTTACAGCATTTTCTCTTATGTCACTCCTTGTGATTTACATCATGTTATGTCACCCATACATATTTAATTATGCAAATTAGTAAGGCTGGTATGTTTTTCCAAAAAAGGTGGCAACCCTAACTACTTTTCACATACTCTTAAGTATGGAAACTTAAGAGGGATGTATGGGAACAAAACTTGTGTGGACTGGCTGACAATGAATATAGTTAAAGGGACACTATAGTCACAAGAACAACTACAGCTTATTGAATTTGTTCTGGTTAGTAGAATCATTACCTTCAGGCTTTTTGCTGTAAACGCTGTCATTTCAGAGAAAATGCAGTCTTTACATTACAGCCTAGTGATAACTTCACTGGCCACTCCTTGGATGGCTGTTAGAGATGCTTCCTGGGTCATGGCTGCCTAAAATGCATCCAAACATTCAGTATCTCCTCCCTCTGCATGCAGACACTGAACTTTCCTCATAGAGATTCATTTATTCAATTCATCTCTATGAGGAGATGCTGATTGTCCAGGGCTGTGTTTGAATCATGCTGGCTCTGCCCCTGATCTGCAGTTTTGTCAGTCTCAGCCAATCCTATGGGGAAGCACTATGATTGGATCAGGCCACCACTTCTAATGATGTAACTCTGCATGAGTCTAACAGCATGCAGAGTTACAGATTCAGGCTTGAATACAGTAAGATTTTTACTATATTTATGGAGGCATGAGGGGCCCAGGGGGGGTTAGATGGTGGTGTTAACACTATAGGGTCAGGAATTCATGTTTGTGTTCCTGACCCTATAGTGATCCTTTAAGGTAATTCTGACTTTGGTCTCTCTAACACTGTGGCATGTTCCCTTTCTTCTACACTAACTACATACAGTGTTTCTCTGTTCCAGACTATATACCAGGAGCGTCTGCCTGCTAGTAAGAAGGTAAGGAGATAAGTGGACCAGAGAGTGCTAGGGAACAGTCCTTCGAAAGCGTTGAGCAAGCGCATCATTAGATGCATTTATGCCAAGCTCAGGGTGCTGTCTGCATAGTATGCCCTTAGTTGGCTAGCTGCATGATTGGCAGGCAGTTTAACATGCATTCATGCCAGGCTGGCCTTCAAATTCTTTGGGCAGACGTCCTCTTTTTGGGCATGTTCGCCCCTTTCGGCAGGTTACGTGATTTGTGTCAGTGTCACACCCTTTTACTGTGCCCATTGACTTCCTGCTTGTCTGGACACTGCTGTTAGGGGTTATGGATTTACTTGAAAGATGAAAACATAAGTTAGAGGGAGATTAGCCTAGGGTATGTGTTTTCTTATAGCTGCTGTTTTCTTTCTCTCCTGCACCATCAGATACATGACGCTTGGGAGTGTTTTAGTGTTTTTGGTCGTTATGATTCTATAATTAGGCCCGTCATAATTGTCAGCACCAGGCCCACTGGGCTGTTAATCTGGCCCTGGTCTTATAGTCTGGGTCTCTATGGGCCTGTCCCTGTCCTTGCCTCTGTCCTTTGGGCCTTTGCCAATGGCATTATAGCATGTATATTCGCTTCATGTCATGTCTAGATATTGTGTATCTGAGTATTCGGTTCTTTTTCCAAATTTCAATGAACTGGCGCTTATTTATTGGTTGAGAGTGGTCAGCTCAGATCAGCTTTGGATGTCAATCGGATGTCAAACTTTTCTACTTTGGAGACCTGGCGCCCCAGTAAGAGGGAAAAAACGCTGTAAAACAGTTTGTCACATTACCAGAGAACGGCACCAAAGTACTCCTACAATCATAATCTCTACAGTGGACTGTAAAATAAATAACCCTGTAAGACTCACTCTCAGTCGCTGCTACTGCGAGTGAGAGAAAGGGTTGGAACGTTTTGTATAAAGGTTACTTCTTAGAAGAGGTATATTCAGTGATCATGGAGCATGCCAAGTCAGACTCTAACTAAGAGTGAAATGATATATTATCACTAGGAAGGCTTTTAGATGGGTTTACCAAGACCGATAACGTATGTTTTGTCTTTCATGTCTTTCTTTGGTGAAAGCTATCTCAAAAGCTATGCCAAGACTGTCGCCCCTTTCTATTATTATTATTATTTTTGCCATTTATATAGCGCCAACAGATTCCGTAGCGCTTCTACATCCATGAACTCAGTGGCCATGTGTGTGTTATGGATAGAAATTAATGTAGGTAAAATGTCTATTTACTATGTATACCTGTATTCAGTATTTACTCAAAATGGCTACTAGAGCACCCATTTACCATCGACCAAACATCTTGTGTAACAAGATGGCGTCTCCATCCGGAGTAAAATCCCGAGATTATGGTGACATCACATTTTGGAGGAAGTGCATTAGATAAGACACTTAACCAATCAAAGATGTACTTTATTTTGTGCTTTATAAGGGACTTGCCGCCCCTCTAAGTAAAGATTAATTAGTTTTTCATTTACCTGAAACCTGTGTCTCAGTGTGATTTACTTCAGCATGCACGCACCTTATTTCAAACAGTCTGAACAGGGGCAGAAGTTCAAGCAAACACTTGGTTTGGTCTAAAACAAGTGTATGTGAGAGGCTTTGGGATAGCATAATTCTTCCACCATAACCCTCATGTTCCCATACTCCTCCTATCCACCCTATTAAAAACAAACACTTTATCCACTATGACTAAGTTTCAGAAGGTCTGGGACCTGTGGGAGCAATACGACAGTTAAATCCTGAATCGGGGCGTAGGGCGGCATGCGGGAGCTCTGCAAAATGGCAATAATTGGGACATACCCAATGCTAAATACTACACCAGCGCCTGGACTGGCGGAAGCGGCGCCACTATGGGACAGGGGCACGGACACACACACCACACGGAGTGCTACCCGGGGAACCCAGGGACCTCTGCTACTGGTCCCTCGGGAAACCATACTAAGACGACACCTAAACGCATTTACTTGTCTATACTTTCCTATCTCTCATCTCTACCTACCTATTATAAGCAGGCACTCCAGACTCGCAAGCTGGTGAAAGAGGAGTCAGGCTTAAATACGCTTATGCTCTGCAGACAATGGGGGAGGTCGGGGGAACAGACACGGGCCCCAAGAGGTCTGGGACTGCGACTCTACTCCCTACGCCTACCCCTCCACACTACCACCATTGTATATAGTTAATTGTGCTTGCCAGCATAACCGAAAATATCGGACGGGGACGTCCGCAGGGTATAAAGTGTCGGTAAAGTGCTTACAATAACCAATGCAACTTTCATTCTGTAACAATGTACGACACTGCGCTGTCACTTGCATATGTACACCTGCATATTTCTGTGTTGACCTCTTCGTCAGACCAAAAATAAAGAATAAAAAAAAAAAAAAAAACACTTTATCAATTTATTACACTAGATAAGCTATTTTCCATTGAAAATCAGTGTATTATGAGAGTATACATTTAAAAATAATTATTCTACACCCAAAATAACACATTTGTGTTTGAATAATGGCGAAATACAGCTATTGACTCGCTGCTATCATTCACAAAACCCGTGTTCTACTGTTCTAGGATTATAGTTTTGTAACAACTTTATTGATATAAAAAAATAAATAAAAAAATGAACATTTTGTATAGATGTGACGCGAGGTGACGCACAACCCGGAAGTATGGCAGACAGTCAAACTGAGTTGAGGCTTGGGAGGGGAGGGGAGACTGTACGTGTGACGTGAATGCGCTTGTCTCGGAAGTGGCGGCGAAGGCGTGGTTGCCGGGGTGACGGCGGGATGGGGAAGGAGCAGGAGCTGCTGGAGGCCTCCCGTATCGGGAACCGGGCAGCTGTGGAAAGATTGCTTGGGGGGAAGCGGCTAAGTGGCGCAGGGCCAGGAGGGAATACCGGGGGAGGAGTGGGGGGCACAGGGGGAGCAACGACCAGTCACCCCCTCAGCAGCCTGCTCAGGTAATACCTGTGTTACTATGCACCCCATGCTAATTCAGTATGTTTATCAATATGACAATCTACATATGCATTCAGTGAAGTCTACATGTTTATGGTTGTGTCCTATTCTGTTAGCAGTCCTGTGGAGTTCTTTGGCGTTGTTTACTGTTGTACTCCTCCTGTGTGTACATCTAGGTGAGAATACAGGAGCTGCTTATTGGATAGAGCCCTGGCTGTGTTGTGAAAGACTTGGGTGGATGTGAATTACATATTGAACTGGTTTAGTTAATTGCTCAGAGCTGTTTGAGTGGCATTATTATGTAGGGTACCACCAGTCAGCGCTTTTTAAATTTTTTTTATTTTTTATTTTTATGCTCATGATCATAATTGCTCAAAAAGTTTTTTTGTTTTGTCATAGTTTATTTCGAACATTTGTGAAATGCTCTGATTTAGGATTTCTTTGTAAGGTCTCTTGTAACATGCAGCACATCTGGGGCTACTGACCGTGCATCATGTATCAAACATTAATACTTTGTTCTTGCCTCTTAAATATTATTTTGCGTGAAATACATTTGGAAGTGCCAACTGTTTGTCATTGTCCAACAATTTACCAATGTTGATTTCACAAGTAACAGCATACTCGCATACTTCTTTTAATGTAACTGCTTTTATTTTGATTGTTGACTATAATTTGTCTGTCCCATTTCCTCCTCCTGAGCAAGTTTAGTTTCTCAGAATGGATATAGTTTGCCATTTGAGGGCTCAGCTGTTATATATATTGGAATGCACTTACAGGAAGCTGGGTCACAGACAGGCTGATATTTAAGTAGTAAAAGTCTTAAAAGGTTGTATAAGATACTTTATATGAAAGGGAAAAGTGGTGCCAGTGAAAGGGTCATATGTGATTTAGTGCAGCTGAATCCTGCTTGCTTGTACAAATATTTTAGGTCTTCACTAAAAAAGGTAAACCTCCTCCTATGACTTCCAGGTAAAGTGGGTAGGATTCTGTTGGCTGGGAGTCCTCTATTTTATTTTTCAACCCTCTTCAAATCAGATAAACTAGAAGGACTGCATTCATAGAGGTTTCACATCAACTGCTACATTAAATATATTAAGCTGTAGCAGTTTTGATGCTTAGTTTTCCTTTAATGTTA